CCCCAAAACCCCAAAACCCCAAAAGAGTGAATGAGTTGTATTGTGAATAATTGATGAAATTAAGTTTAAATCAAATATACCAAAATGATTCTATAAATTTTCAAATTTGTAAGAAGCATTGAGTGCATCCACAACCAGTTGGACAAGGAATCATATAATTGGGTTAGCTTTGATTTTTAGAGCTCTTTCTAGTGAACCACTCTTTAATATGTTCATAGTGGCCTCCATGATAACAGTGAATGCAGACAAACATTAATCCCATTACATTCAAGTCACAGATGGCACATTTGACACTTATTTTATCACATGAATTGCACTGGTTTATTCCACCCATATTTAAAAGCATATTTTCCTCATGTTTTCCTTGTTATAGCTACTTTTTACAAATATACCCTAAGCTGTTCTCCGAAAATGGCAAATAATCCTTGATACTTAAGTTTGTATTTGACTGCAAGTGGGAGCTCAGTTTGATTTACTTTGATCTTGATCGTTGTGATCTTTATTCTATATCTTTATCATTCATTAGACTCATAGGCTTGATTGCAGATGTCTGTAGCATTAATATCTCAGCCTTTGCAACTATTTTACAAAGCTCTATGGACTGAAAAGTATGTCCCCAACTAAGCAACAATTCAGCATATTTTTTCATATACAATAGCATTTCTTTCTAAATATAGTTAATATTATCTAGTAATTACAGTGAGTTTTGGATCTTCTCTTAACACCATAGAGATCTCTACTTCTTCCTTTTAATCTCCTCCAATGTTTGTCTCAAGATCCTCAAATTCTTCATTGCCTTCTCTCATTGTCAATTCATCAAAATTTTTAAATTTCTCACTTTTATGGTTTTCCAAGTTTATAAGTTCTAATTCTTCCGTTCCTTCATTCTTAATGTGAATTGCTTGCTTATCAACTAAATAATCAACATCGTGCTTCATAAATAGATTTATTTTAGGCTTTCTATTCTTTTTGTTATCAGGAGTGCTTGGCTTTCTTTTCTTAAATCTGCTTGCTCTTGGTTATACGAAATGATTGTCTAATTTTTCTTCATCAATCAGGTTCCTTGAGTTATAGCCAGGTCTTTGACCACTCTTGGTTCTCTAAGGGCTATTAAAATGTTAGTCCAATCTGCTATCATTATATAGGTTTTCAAAACTCCCAAGTTAATTAGCTTGCATCTTAAACTTATTCTAGGGCTATTTTGGCTTGATCAACCATTCATAGTCACCACCATCAGTTTTAAAATAGTCATGATTTCTCCCTCCTATGTACTAATAGCTTTTCTTTCTTCCTTTATGAGTCTCTTTATTTTTTCTAGGAGTCTGAACTTTGATAATATAATTCTAATTAGGTGCTATTTTAGAGTTTTCGAGGGTGTAATCCTTTTCGAATACTTCCTTAGTCGGAAATTTATAGCTTTAATTGATGCTTTCAACCTGCTAAGTTTAATCCAAATTATTGAAACTATTTGGTTGCTTGTGAAGATCACTTTTGCTTAGCTACTTGTTAAATGGTATCTTATTGTAAGATTGAGTTTTAACAATATTTGAGCTATTTATTTATTTATTCCTTATTTAGGATTACATTTTGGCCTGCTTTTGAACTTCCATCAGATTTTCTAGAATTTTTGTCTCTGATCCCAGCATAAGTGCTGAAAGCAGAGCAAGATTTTATATATCTCCTTATTCTTCAAATGTGGTTAGCAGCCTAATAGCTAGAGATTTCCCTAATGGATTAGTACTCCAGTTTTGAAGTTTGAACAAATCTGAATTAATGTCGGAGAGACAGATAGCTATCATATTCCATGCTTTGGCCAGTTCATGCTTATCCAGTTCAATTAACCTTGATGAATTTGATATACATAACTCTTTAATGTCAGTTGAGAATATCTCCTGGCTCTCTGCAAATTTTAAGTCAACATTAAACATGAAGTCCAGATTATATATGGCTATTACACTTGGTTTCGTGTTTATCAAATAGTTATCATCTCTTTTGCTGCTTATCCTTTTATCATATCTGATGTGTTAGTTCTTGCTTGGTACTCTTTTAATTCTGTATTTTTTATTTTGATTTGTATCTCTCCCTGAAGCTGATTTAAGCCTAGATTTGCTATCTTGTCTTGATTTAACTCTCTTACTATCAGTAATACTCTTATTGTAGTAACTACTTTCAACACCATACTCCTCCTCTTCATCATCGTCATCATTGTCGTCTGAGTCAGAGTAATCTTCATCTTGCATAAGGCTAGTCCTATTATTGCTGTTTTAAGCATAATTATTGAATTTTTCATCATTGCTTGAGTCCCCAGATCCAATATCATTACCATCGCTAGAATCTTCTGATCTGATTTCGTCACCTTCATAATCACCCTGAATTTGATTATTGTTTGTCCAGTTAAACTTCTTAGATATTTGAGAGTAAATGTTTTTCAAATCTGTGGCATTATAGATCTTCTTCTTTGAGTTATCTTAAAGAGTTCTGATGTTGTATTTTGAATATGAAAAGTAGACTAGTTGGCCCCTACTATTCCAAGAAAAACCATTAGTTCTTGGATAAGGGATGAAATATTTCTTTTCATTTTGGATTGAATCATTTGCATCTTCTTTTAATTCTTAAGGTTTGTACTAATTGTTAATTATATAGTCTTCTATTCCATCATCTACGTTAAATATCTAATTTTTGCTTCCAACTAATGGAGACTTAAGACTTAATTCAAGGTATTGTAGACAAGTCTTTATGTGCTAAACTCCATCCTACGCCTTTTAATGAGCCAATTCATTTATCTTGTCAATAATTCTATTAGATGTTGCGTCATCTATATTCATTCTATTTCCTGCTTTAAAAAGTACTTCAGCTTTAGGATAGTTGGATGGGATAATTAATGTGAGTCCGAATATCCTTTTATCCTTCAAAAATAATCTCAATTCTATTCTGTTAATAATACCTTTTTGTTAAGGATCCATCTCCTTAAGGTCATAAACTATTTTCTCAAACACTTCTGTCTCATTAAATTCATTTAAAACTATGTCACTTTGAGTGATAATCTTTTAGAAATCGCTTCTTGAACTTGATTCATAATTTAGCTTATCAGACTTTAAAAGCTTTTATCTAGAATTTATTCTTATTAAGGTACTTTGACTTTTTTAGAATTTATCTGTAAATTCAAGGCTTAATTTCTCAATCCTCAAGTACTTGTCTGAGGGTAAGGATACTATTTGATACTAATAATCATTTGGATCTCTTCTTAACTAAAAAATCTTAAGTTCTTAAACCAACTGAATTTCTTTTTGATTTCTCGTCTCATACTTTTTTTTCTTTAAAAAGAGGCCACCATCAGATTCTCTTTCGTGCAATGAGAAAAATTTTACATTGTTGCTTTTTTCAGTCGAGACTGCAAGACCTAGTCCGAATGGTGTAAAAACTACAGTATTTACTGGATTTTGCAACGTCACATGAGTTAATGCTTCTCCTCCAGTCTCACTCAATTAGAAAATTCTGATAGAGCCCTATGAGGACGTCAATAATAGTTTTGATGTCTGATAATCAAAATCCATATTCTTGATATTATTATCAAATGTATCAATGTGGAAAACTTCTTTGTTAGTTTATCTTTAATCCCATATTCTGACTATCTTATCATGTGCAGTTGCAAATTAATTCTCATTCTTTCTATCGAAGAGTATCTTGCTTGTTTGAGAAGTCAAAATAACCAAAGATGCTTGAGATGTTCTTAAGTCCCATAATCTTATCTTATCATAAGACCCTGTTGCAATTTGATTCTCATCTTTTTAATTCCAACTCATACTAGTTTAGCTCGTCAAGCAGCCAAGTGTTTGGAGATACGAACCATCATTAAGATCAAATATTGAGACAATATGATCTGAAATTGATGCAATGATGCTTGATTTGACTGGGTTTCCTTCGATAATTTAAGGATCCGGGTTAATCAATTTGTCTGTTGGTTGTTTTGTTCTAGATTGCTTTATCTTTTCCTTACTTTTAAGCAGCTAATCAAAATCCATATAAAATATTTTTCTCATTGCCCCAAACAAGGCTAAGTTTTGATCACTCGTAATACTCAGTAGCTTAACAGGAGCGAAATCAAATTTCATTATGAATGGCGATTTATTTAAATCATGCATGTTGGGCTCATTTGTTGCTTGAGATTTGGTACCAGGTTCCCAGGGTAGAGGCCAGTTATTTTTGAATGAGTGATGATGCGGTTTCTACTTGCTTTGAGATTAGCCCCCTTCTAGGATCGAAGGATGTGATTGAGTATGCATTTTTAATATGATTTTTAATAATTTATCTGAATTCTCTTTAAAGAGTAATATTTATAACTTGGGGTTTTGGGGTTTTGGGGTTTTGGGG